TCTATTAAAATTTCCTTCCAGCCTCTTCATACTGTTTCTAACATTCTTTCTAATATCATTAGCGACGCTTGAATGGTTTTAACGTTTTTCTTTAGTGTGCGGAAAGCTCAAAAAAAGATTAGCTTCCGTTGCTATCATCCCTTGAAATAGTACATTATATTGCACATTCAAAGCTTAAATTTAGCTGGAGGCAGACTGAGTTATTTCTCAGTTTTCGAGTGAAATTTCGCTGACCGTGGCACCCCCTTGACACCTGTTATCAATGGTTTAGGAAGGAAGAAATATTAATCGCAACTGCAGAGTTCTTGCATATTATAAACTCACAGTGAGAACAAGGTTTAATGAAACACCTAAAAATCGAAAGATATGCTAGTGATAACTGTTTTATACTCATCGTCTTAATCACATCATTGTCAGATCGTCGGAGATTCATAATCGTTGGATCTTATTCTTTATTCCATGGCATAAATGCGAAAAATATTCATGTTCCGCCACCCTGACGTTTTCATAAAATTTCATAAAGATGTTGGCATCTTTGGTCAGTGTTGGCACCGGTCACAACTGTTGGGGCATTTTTTTATGGGTACTGTTCGCCAAAATTTTTATGAGCACTGTTATAAGATTTTTATGGTCACCGACTGTTTGCCATAAGATGGCATCTTTATGGTCAGCGACTGTTTGCCATAAAGATGTTGGCATCTTTTATGTTCACGACTTTTTGCCATAAAGATGTTTGGCATTTTTATGGTCACCGACTGTTTGCCATAAAGATGTTGGCAACTTTATGGTCAGCGACTGTTTGCCATAAAGATGTTGGCATCTTTATGGTCAGCGACTGTTTGCCATAAAGATGTTGGCATTCTTATGGTCAGCGCCTGTTTGCCATAAAGATGTTGCATTTTTATGGTCAGCGACTGTTTGCCATAAAGATGTTGGCATTTTTATGGTTACCGACTGTTTGCCATAAAGATGTTGGCATCTTTATGGTCAACGACTGTTTGCCAAGGTAAGGGTCTTTACATGGATGTCCTGTTAGTTTGATGAAAGTTACTAGTTACTTTCCTTATTGTATAAACTGAATCTCATCAAGGGTACTGGTACCTTTACGGCCTTTATGCCTTGCTTTGGCAAAAAAAAAAAAAAAAAAAAAAAATGTTGCAAAAAAGTGCCCGTATACTTGTTCAAGTCGGCCACGCTAGTTAGAACAACCCCATTCGATGCAATACTTTGCACCTGTTGTTATTCAGAGACTTGATTAATCCAGGAAGTCTCATGGAGATTGCTCATCAAGAAGTCCGTTAGTTTTCCTTGTTAGAAATCCTGGCAGGAAGGCAACGCAACTTTTAGGTAGCTAGCTCTCCCTTTTTTTGTCACATAAAAGAAATAATAATACTATTTTTGGCGAAAGAATTAAGTGTTAATAAGCTAATGTAAGCTTTGTTACACTGTGTCTAGGGATGACAATGTGTAAGCATACTAAGCTCTAATGTAAATAGCCAAAATGCGTAAGCTTGTACCTTTATACAGACAAAAATACTTATATGAACAAAAAAGTAATCAAAATTGTTCAAAAATGTTGTAATTCTTTAATTAAACTTTTTTTAAGAATCAGTTTGAAGTATATTTACTTATTAATATGACAAATCATACCAGTGCTATCTCCATAAGAGTAGGAATGCATTCGTGGAGGCCTTTTTAAGAAAACTGGTTCGTATCTACTTTGCAAACACAGAATGCTACGAAAAGATTCATGCAGCCAGGTTGTTTGCTGAAACTTGAACCCTGGCCGAACTACCAGCGGTATAAACAGGAGTTAATTTACTGGCGGCATCTATTTTCCAGAGGGGTTAAACATTCCAAAAATTCTTTCTGTTCTAGTTAACGACCCTAATTTCAATCCACCTTTGTCTTCAGCCTTTAAAGGAATTATGATTTAGTTCTCATTTCATCAATAGATGGCGCCAGTAGCTTAACTCCTGTCCAACCTTTCCTATCTTATCTAATCACTATATCTTACCAGCAGTATATTTAGCGGTTTTACTCGCTCGGTCGTTTGTGGATGAATCAGTTTTGGTCTCAGAGGTGTTATTATAATGCATCATTTGCACAGCAGTGGAAGTTCTTTCTTCTTTCTGAGTTTTGAAATTTTAATATGGCTTTTATAATGCTTATTAATAATTTTTAAGCCGTTATTTCGAACACTATATCATGATGCTACAAATATAGTTTAAAAATTGTTTTTCACTTCATGCAGTAAAATTTAAAATATACGAAGCTTGATCTTAGATTGAATTAGAGAGAACAGAACGGTTTCATAGAAGACATTATACGCTTTCTTTAAGAGATTAATTCGAGGTCTTTTTTTTTATTTCAAGTAACCATCATATTCTTACTTCTTGAACATGAAAGACGTTTAGCGGTGTCCCTCCAAATCTGAAACTTTTAAGAAGTAGCATCAATTTATCATTGACTTGTGCCTGCCTTTAAATTTCTAACTGATATGTTTTTTCTATATATCGTAAGAAAAAATGATTAAAATTAAGAATAACGATAATTACCCTATCACTATGAGTTGGTCCAATCCCTGTATAACTGATTAGTACGGTTATTAAATAACTGTAACTGATTCATATATGTAACTCTAACCGCATTCAGCCCTTATATGTAACTTTAACCATATATGCCTTCTGCAGTTTCGAGAAGTGGAAGGTACTAGAGATTTCTCGGCAAACGGGGTAAAACTAAATAAGACCGCAAAAATAAAATAAGTTTGGTAAAATAAATTGTATCAAACTATCATCGGTTCTATGTGCATTTAATCTGTTACGAACCTGTTAGCACGGAACAGTACAATTAAATATTTTATTCATTAATTAAAATTCAGTTTTTGCCAGTTTATTGCGTTTACTGACAATTTTGCAGTTGTTCCTTCATAAGAACCAAGAACAGAAGTAATATCTTAAAAGATACTAAAAAGATTTTAAGGTTAAAAAAAATATAAAAACAATAAATATATAAAACAAAAAAATCTGAAATTTTCAGATTTTACATTACGCCCAAAGGGGCCTTTTTTTTAACAATTTGTGTGTTACTTTTAATTATTAAATATCATGTTCTTCGCACTTAAACTATAAAATTCAGCAATATCACAAAATATTTAAAAAGAGCATATTTTTAGAATTTCCGATACGCAATCTCGTTCGCTGGAGATAAAACTGTTTTTTCTTTTTCGTACAATTTTAGAGACATTAGAATTTTTTGGAAGCAAGAGACTTGAAAAATGAGCAACATCTTCGTCGGGAATCGAACCACGGACCTCTGGAATACGCGCCCAGCTTGCTGACCGCTACACTACGAAGGCATGCTAAGAAGGCGGAAGAAATACCTTATACAGTGTTGCCATTGCTCTCTTTGAAATCGTTGAGTTTCTTAATTAAAAAACTCATAAATGCTTTACAAAATATGAAATAGACAATAAAACAAATTCAAAAAAAAAAAAAAATCTGAAATGTTTCAGATTTTAAATTACGTCCAAAGGGGCGTTTTTTAACATTTTGTGTGTTACCTTTCTTATTAAATATCATGTTCCTCGCACACTTAAACCATAAGATCCAGTGCAACAGCAATATCGCAAAATAGTTTTAAAACGAGCATATCTTAGAATTTCCGATACTGGAGATAAAAATGTTTTTTCTGCACAACGTTGCCATTGCTCGCTTTGAAATCCTTGAGTTTGTTAATCAAAAATTCGTCAAAGTTTTAAAAAATATGAAATCGATAATAAAACAAATTTCCAAATTTGGGCATTCCAGATGCCCATATTCGCAGTAGGATGACGTCATTCAAAATTCGATTGTCTATGGTACCGTTGTTTTATCACAATACGAGAAATATACATACATTTATGCAGATTTTTCATTATTTAATTTCTTCAAATATAATGCAGGACTCTAACATTTTGTGGCAACAGTTTGAAAAGTGAACCGACATTTATCCGTCCGACGCAAAATGCCAAAACGAAACTAATAGTCCTTCGGGATTCAAATCCCTTTGGACTTAAAAAAAAAAAAAAAAAAAAAAAAAAAAAAAAAAAAAGAAGATGCCCATATTGCAGTATGTTTCATAGGGAAGAAAAAGGGAAAAATAACTCCATCAATTACGAACAACTCATTTAATGTCTTCATTCATCTGATATAATCCCCAGGTTTATATTCTTTTTTTTTTTTTAAATTATCACCCGTATTCGAAACGTTATTTAAACGTTTATTAAACGTTATTTAAACTTATTTTAACTTGACTTGTATTTCGACATTTATGTTCCATTTTCAGCAAGGGCGGTAAATTACACCTCCTTGATCATTGATTATTCTGTCGCTGAAGTAAGTTATGAACAGACCGTCATGTAACTATCTCCCAGACACGCTTCACTTTATGTTCACTGTAAGAGAAATATACTGAATCCCTCTTCGTTGGATTGGATATAATTTAGCGACAATTTAAAAGAAAAAAATAATCGAGATACAGTTTTTATACTTCTGCATTAAAACTAAATGGAATAAGGTACGTGGGTCTATTGAAAGCTAAATTAAAACAAGAAGCTTAAAGAAACTATTGAGACATGAAAAATCATAAACTCTGGAAAAAATTTCCCATTTGAAGTTTCATGGGGGGGGGGAACTTGTATATTCAATGTTTGCAATGAATTCAAAAACCAACTCCAGGGAAATTATTATTATTATTTTTTTTTTAAAAAAAATTCGTTACGTGCTGCGCGGTTTGGCACAACATTTGTTATAAGTTGACAGCTCGTACCGTTAGGTGGCGCTCCGAGCGTCTTATCTCTGTTGTTATTCTATAACTTAATTTGAGTTTGATGACAAAACGAAGGTGTTAAGCCTAATAATGATGAAGGCATGGGACTAATAATAATGCTTGTAACCAATGTATTATAATGTAAATAAAATTTTATGTATTAATAACGAAACGGAATAATCACTTACCTCTGGATCTAATGCTCTCTGAGTGGTAATGGAATTAGTTACCACAAATTCTAAACGCCCCGTGGAGAACTTTTTAACTGGCTCGTATCTACGTTACAAACGGGAAAAAAGAAAACGCCCACGAAAACACCCATATAGCCAGCCCTTTCGCCGGGACTCTAACCCCGGACGCATATAAGCAAAATGTACACTGCTAGGATAACGGCTTGAGTTTGGCCAATGACAATCCAGATGAAGGTCACCATTAACTCCGCCCACATGAGTGATGTCACATTTCTGACGTTTGTTTACATTCTGCTGTTCGGCGTTACGAAGTGCACGTTCTTTGAATGAAAAACATTTTTACTCTGCAATGTAAATTTGCTCTAATGATGCTGTTTTTTAAAACATTTTTTTAAAGTATTATTTCCTTACTGTTCCAGAAGAAATATAAATTTATGTCTAAAATTTTACAAAACTTCTCTCTATATGCGTGTGTGTATATATATATGCGTGCGTGTGTATTATACGCATAATGCACACGTACATATATTTTCAATATATAAGCATGTGGATTATATGTATCAATACATGTGTGTATGCATATAAATATGAGTGAGTGTATGTGTGTGTGTATTCATTTTTCAGGATGTCAGATTTCCAGCGAATAATCTAGAAAGTTTTTTTTTGGTGGACAGGTTTTTTTTGGACGGGACAAGTTTTTTTGGATTATCAACCTAACCCCTTGTTTAGTTTTGGTTAAATAAACCAAACTAAACATGAGGAATCGTACATTGTCAATCCCTTTTCTCACCTATACAATATCTAATGTAAAATTTAATATTAAGCAAAAAATAAATAAATAAATAAAATAAAAAAAGGCTTTAGTCTAGCATAGCTTTATCGATTTCGAGGGAGATCAGGCACAGATCCTTCTTCTTCAGGAGCAAAAGTATGCATTAAAAATTTTTCTGCTTCTAAGAAAAAGAATCCACTTTTTTTTGTGCCTAATATTACGTCATACTGTGTGCAGCTTTGCAAAAGGTTGTCGAATTCAATGATTTTTCATTCTGAACATGCTGTATTACGAAACAGGTGACTAACTTCTACGACTTGCATAATGTATATTCTTTCTGAATCTTTTCATTAATGTTTAAAAATTAATTTATTTTTTAACGTTGTAGAGTCATTAGTTTTTTTTTTTTTTTTTTGAAAGCAGCAGAAGTGAAAATGAGCAACTCCCTCGCTGGGTCTCCAACCACGGACCTCTCGAATGCGCGTCGAGAGTGCTGACCACTACACCACGAAGGCATGCTGAGAAGGCGGAAGAAATACCTCACATACTCCCCCTTTTAAAGGACAATTGGGGATTAAGGGACCCAATCGCCAAATCCTGGCGGCGGAGAATCATCATCCACCACCCTTTTTAGTTCGGGCGCCACTGTAGAGTCATTAAGATTTTTTTGAAAGCATGAGAAGTGAAAAATGAGCAACGCTGTCGCTGGGACTCGAACCACGGACCTCTCAAATACGCGTCGAGAGTGCTGACCAATACACCACGAAGGCATGCTAAGAAGGAGGGAGAAATATCTTAGAAATATGCGGCATATTGTGGATGCACACTGCATCAGCAAATCAGCAAAGCTGGTTTGAGAAGGACAGAAAGTAATACATACGGTAAAGCTTTTTCCCTTTAGTTTTATTATCATATCAGTAACAGGCAACGTGGAATGCTCGAAATTTCTTCCCCTTATTGGGAAAATAAGTTTGAACCTCTTTTCTCTTTTGAAATTTTATGTGTAAGAGGGGGAATGTTTCTTCACTGCTTTTAGGTAGACTCTGAAATTTATCAAGGCATGAAAAATAGAAGCATATACATGTATGTAGCCCCATGATTAAAGATTATCAGAAAGGATTTCATAGAGCAAAAATTTCGATTTGTTAGTCAATATTTTAGCCTCTTCAGCATTATTCCCTCTAACTGCAATGAACATTTTTACAGCTTTTTTGTTCAAAATCCCCTAAACATATTTAAAGTCACCAAAAAAGAAACTCTTTCTCTGGTACCCCTTCAGCACTCGCAGTAATTTTATCAGAAGATTAAACGGTTATCACAAAATGGCAGTTTTAACTGAGAAAGTGATAACATATTACAGGGTAGATAACATATCACAGGGTATCAGACGCAGCTCTCGGATCCATCCGTATTTGCTGAATTTTTGACAAAAAAATTATGAGCAAGGGGAACAAATGTATGATCTATGTGCATAATCCAGGAGTTATCTCGCACCCCAAAAAAAGAATTTAAAAAATGTGAAAGGTTTCAGATTTTAAATTACGTCCAAAGGGACTTTTTTTTTTTTTTTTTTTTTTTTTTTTTTTAACGTTTTGTGTGTTACCTTCATTTATTAAACATCATGTTCTTTGTACTTAAATCATAAAATTCAGTTCAAAGCAATGTCGCAAAATAATTTTAAATTGAGCATATCTTTAGAATTTCCGATACACAGTTCTGCGCGCTGGAGATAAAAGGTTTTGTTTCTTTTCCTCCCGTAGAGTGTTGCCATTGCTCGTTTTGAAATCCTTGAGTTTGTTACTCAAAAATTCGTTAAAGTTTTACAAAATATGAAATCGATCCTAAAACAAATTCTAAATTTCAAATTGGGTCTTTCGCATGCCCATATTCGTAGGAGGATGACGTCATTCAAAATTTGATGGCTCTATGTACCGTTGTTTTATCACAATGCGAGAAATATACATGCATTTACGCAGATTTTTCATTATTTCATTTCTTCAAATATAATGCAGGACTTTGGTTTTGGTGGCAAACATTGGGTGGCAACAGTTTGAAAAGTGAAACGGACATTTATAGTTATTCAACTCAAAATCGCAAAACGAAAACAATAGTCCTTCAGGGACAAAGCCCCTTTGGATTAAAAAAAGTACAAGTCGTTTTGTATGAATTGCTCTACTCAAATGCTAAAAAGTATTCAAACAATATTCTTTATTAAGAAAAAATATTGAAATTGGGTTTGTTATCAGAATTTCGTATTACACAATACTACGACAATCGAAGAAAAGGGATAATAGAAAAGAAAACAGGTAGCCTACCTACCTAAGAGAAGGTGTGCATTTGTGGAGGTGTTTCTAAAAATTGTCTCCTATACATAATATTACACATGGGAAAAATCACGAAAACACGCACGCAGCCAGCCCGTTTGCCTGGAATCGATCCCAGGTCGGAACTACCAGGGTTCAGCGGCTTTACCGCTCCGCCGCTGGTTCCCATTTTAGAAAGCGCTAAAGGAAAATTATTTATTCGTTAAAAATGTAATTTATTTGTAAACAACAGAAGATAACGAAGTATAGCTTTTTGGCAGACGTCAAAGAAAATCGTAAACAACTTCTAAAAAACTTTGGAAATGATACCTTGCATGAGTGTATCTTCAATTAATTATTTTCCAATAATTTCAAGTCAGAACATTATGTATTTATTGCAGTGCAGGTGAGGAAGTTATATGCATTTTTTTTTAAATTTAAGAACGAGAATATAATGGTAAATATATATTTTATACTTTGTGATGTTGCGTGGCCTCAACTTGTCAGCAACAGTAGTAGTGACTGCTATGAACTGGAAATTACACAAACTCTTAAGAAGGGTTTAACTTCCTTTTTGTTTCACTTTAGAAATCACAGTTGCGTTCACTTGACGCTCACAAAACTACGCCGACCCGGCGGTTGAACAAACGAGACAAAAATGCAACTAAAAAAAATGACAGGATGATAAATAAACGAAGTCACTACCTACGAGGCTCTATAATCGTAACTAACTTAACCGCGTTCTAAGATACAGCTGAGATCAGCAAACTTTCTGATTAAGAATTGAAAGATTCAACGAACTGTCGAAATAGGGCACAGGCCGAACGCGCGGGTTTTCTTAAAATTTCTACAAGCAACCTTCACGCTCGTGATTCAAGAAGCACACTTACAATCTCGCTTCCCTTCCATTTAAACTCAAATTACTTCTGCTAAAATTTGAATACTCTGCGCGTTCTACTACGATTTACATGCTCTGGCATTGGCAATTCTAGGGGAAAGTAAAGGCTTGACAGGAAAGATAGCTTAAAATAAATGTTACTTAAAATAAATATAAACCCTACAACTTGAAAAATTCCACTTCATCTTCAGCAACAATGGCAATAATTACAATAATAATGAAGCATTTATACGAAACAATGCGACGATCATCAACACTAATAGAAGAGACAGGCAATTCGTTGCAGAGAAAAGGAAATCACCTTATTTGTTTAATCCATTTTACTTCCTTATGCTAAAGTACTGCTGTCGGGGGGGAAGGGGGAATCTGATATCATATTTGCACGTAAATCTCCATGTTGACCTTTTCCGAATAGATTTGGATGATTTATTTGCTTGACGTCTGTACGTACGGACAGAATAAAGGACCCTTTTCTCAGAACGTGTTCTAAAATGGATTTAATGGATTCAAAAGCGATTTTTTTCGTGACGTCTGTACTTACGTAAGTACGTATGTTTATATCTCGCGTAACTCAAGAACGACTAGCCCCGTAAGAACGATGAAATTTTGTATATGGAACTGCTATTACATCTAGTTATGCACTTCCCTTTTCTATTGCAATCCGAAATAGCAAACGTATACATACAGTGCGTCCGTAAAATCATGGTGCACTTTTTGATCCGTCACAAGAAAGCAACAAAACAAGATAGAAATGTGAAATCTTCACCAAACAAAAGAAAACTTCTTAAAGTTTCATACCAATTCAGTGCAGTTTGATGTGGGGCTTCATCCATGCCGTCGCAGTCTACTCCGTAAAGAAAAATAGTCCTATCACTTTATCATGCATCAGGCCACACCACACGTTCACTTCAGGGCTGTTACGTACATACTCTACGCGGGCACGAGGATTTTTAGCAGCCCATATTCGGATGTTATGGCGACGAACATGTCCACTAACATGGAATGTCGCCTCATCGGCTAAACACAATCTCCTGCAGATATCGGTTATCATTGCCGATCTCATGAAGCTTATCTGTACCAAATGCAAATCGTTTGGGTCTATCCTCCATCGGTTTGATAGTGCGCAACAGCTGCA